TAATTTGAAATAATGGAATCGACAACAAAAGACAATCTCGAAAAAAAAAATTTTTTAAATTTTAGATTTATTTTACTTTGCATGTCTTTTTTCTCTTCATTTTCATGCATTGTCATCCAATTCTGAACTGTGTGCTAAATTTGTAGTTTGTAGCTAGTCGGGAAGTTAGTTTAAAATCGATTACAAAATTCCACCCGGACAGACATACACGAAAGCAAGTTTATATAAACGTGGTAAAAATAGAAGTCAGGATGTTTTTAACTCTGTATTGCAGAAAGAGTCCTAGAATTTCTTTTAAATTTCTGAAATTAACTTAAATACTGTATAAATATTAGCGCATATAGTTTACTTTTATGTTCAAAACCTTATAAAAATTTATTTCAATGGTTTTTAAACTTTGTTATCTTTAGATTGTTGCCAATGGCATGAAAGAGCGAGGAAAGGGAGGATCCATTGTAAATGTATCAAGCATAGGAAGTTTTCAATGTACTCCTTCTATAGGAATATATGCCTCGAGCAAAGCTGCTGTAGATCAACTAACAAGATGTATGGCAACAGAGTATGGACCTCACAATGTAAGAACTCTTGATCTGATACCATTTAAAAAACGATCATATCGACTTGTCTTTGATTTCGATTCAATACATTGGATTCTGTTTCAGCAATACTATTTACATTCTATCCTGTGATTTCTATTATAACTAGTATGCTATTAATCTCATACTAATTTTTATATATATAAACTTTTATAACTTTTACACTACTATACCTAATATCCTAGGTTTGATTTTATTCCAATTAGTAAAAAAATATTTTAGAACCTCTATTTAACTTGCTTACATAACAATATTTAAATATCTTCCCCTTTCCCTCAGTAAATACAAGATGGCAGCTAAAGCTCACCTCGGATGAGGGGCAAAATCTAGACATTTATATTGGACCTAAACCAATAATTTTTAAGACCATTTTCATCAATCCCCTTTTTGTTTCAGCATGAAACTTTTTTTAAGCACATTAAAATTGGCTTACTATTCAATCAAATGTGAAAAGCAAATTTCTTTATACAAATGCTTCTTTTTATAGATCAGAGTGAATTCTGTTAATCCTACTGCTATACGCACAAACATGGCGGCTGAAGCATTTGAAGAAGGTAATGAAGCTGGAATGAAAATGGCAGAAAGGACACCTCTGAAAAGATTAGGAGGTAAGCAAATTTAATTGACTATTACGAAAGAGCACTTATTAATAATTATTCAATTTTCAATTAGACCTCAGAGTATATTAATAAAACTTTTTTCATACCAATAGATTTGATTTCGAATTAGGCAAAATGTAAAGTTATTTTTCATAAGTATGTATAATAAATACATCAAATGTAATAACTTAATTTAAACAAATTAAATAGAATATAGAAATAAATTTATAGATGTTAGTAACGGATGATTTTTTAAAAATTATATTAATTATTGAGGTGCTAGTAAGTACAACTGTCTGGGTAAAAATCGGCAATTTTGACGAAAATTTTTAATTTGTATTTTTTTTTTATCTACATTTAAGCTTCAGTTCATTAGCTTTCCGAATTCCTTTAATGATTTTTATAGTTACAATTATTGGAAATGAAATAACTGTTGTTTATTCGTTCACTGACAGACGAAACTGAAACTGGAAGTAAGCTTACGAAAAGAAACTAGATTGCTTTTAATTTTGCTCTGAATAATTAAACCCTTGTTTATTTAATTTAATCATATTTTTAAGAAAAATGAAATTCAATTTCAGAATTTAATTTTCAAATTATTAATTATTTTTGTTGTCAGAAATTTACTACATTTCAAAATTTTCTTGCATTTTAAACGCAATTTTTGAAGAAAATTTCTTTACGCTAACACGCAGTACAAAAAATATTTATTATGGAATTCTTTGATATTTCGAATGTAGACTTTGTATGTTGTCGATCTTTAAGTAAGAATACATAGAATTTTTTTCTCGAAAATTTGTGCTTTTAGTTCCCTTTCCTTGTTTATTTTTTGCTTTTGAATAATTTTAAGATTTTAGCTCATAACACAGGTAGTCACATTTTTTATTTCACTCTTGGGCATTAAAATTGCCACACCAAGAAGGTGACACTCCACAAGCGTGAAATTTGCAGGACGGATAAAGCATGTTATGGTATGCAAATGATTAGATTATCAGCGCATTCATGCCACGCAGACGGCGGTAGCGACACCTACAATGTGCATCAAAGAAGTGATTTGACAGCAAGTGTCGCATACAGAAGTTGAATTTGAGTGTTGTTCTCTGTTAAAAAAGTTTTTGTTATGCCTCGTGTACGAGGGAGAAATGCTTACCAGCAATTGTCTGTGTTTGACCGAGGTCGAATTGAGGCCTACCGGGATTATACCGAAGTATTGCTGCTCTAGCGTTGGTCGAGATCCCATGACTGTAAGCAGAATATGGACTCGATGGGTTCATGACGGTCATATAGAATGCCGTGCCTTATCTCAGCTACTAACAGCCGAGAAGACACTAACAGCCGAGAAGAAAAACATGTTATCCACATGGCCTTAAAGGATCGTACAGCTACGTCACGAATCCTGAGTCAACAAATGGTATCATTTGCAAGACAACAAGAGTCTGCACAAACAGTTCAACGACGTTTGCTGCAGCATGGGCTGTCAGCACGGCGACCATGGCTTCGGCAACCCTTGACGCTGCATCACAGGCAGAAGCGCCTACAATGGTATGATCAACGACGAACCTGGACGCAGGAATGGCATGACGTCGTCTTTTTAGACGAATCCAGATTCTGTATACAGCATCATGATGGATGCATCCGTGTTTGGCAACATCGTGGAAAACGCCCATTGGCAGCTTGCATTCGAGATCGTCATACTGGCCCATCATCTGGAGTAATGATATGGGGTGCCATTGGATACACATCTTAATCAACTCTTGTTCGCATTGCCGGCACGAACAGCAGCCGTTACATTTATGATGTGTTAGGGCCAGTTGCTCTGCCTCATCTTCGGGTCCTCCCTAACGCTACGTTTCAGCAGGACATTGCACGACCGCATGTTGCCCGTGGGCAGCACATTCTCCTGATCTCTCACCAATTGAAAACGTCTGGTCAATGGTTGCCGAACGACTGGCAAGCCACCACTCGTCAATCACTTCGTTCGAGGAATTGCGGCTTAATGTTAAAGCTGCGTGAAATGCTGTACCCGTCCATGCTATCCAATCTCTGTTCGACTGGATGCCCAGGAGAATAACTGCCGTATTGCTGCCAGGGTAGGCTTCTCTGAGTACTGATTCCACGGGATCTATACATCCAAATATCCTGAAAATTTAATCTCTTGTTCTTCCAACTACAATGTAGGTGCCTAATAAATATCATTCTGCTATTTGCATTCCTTCCTGGTGTATCAATTTCAATGGCCAGTAGTGTACTAACAATTATTTGAAGAGTTGTGAATTTTGAAGGTAGCAGAATATTGTAAGACATTAGAAACGTATATCACGTTAAACAACCCGCGATTTGCATTACAAATTTGTAAACAGATCTTGCAGTTTTGCAAATAAATAAAGTAATATGATAAGTTGTGCCTTTCTTTTGTATACAAGACTTGTTTGTTTGAAATAAAAATATTAGACGCATCACTGTCGGAAGTGTTAAGGATTTCCGCTTTCAAGTACAGATGAAATATTTTTTTAGAACTATATATAATTTATCAAATTTAAAATACTTGTTTTCTTCTCTTTACAGAGGTTGATGATGTAGCCTATCCTATCTTATTTTTATTGAGTGACTATGCATCTTTAATTTCGGGAATTATAATGCCTATTGATGGAGGTATCACAAATCTTTTCTAGGAATGTTTTCTTTCAAGAACATCAAATCTGAAAATAAGAATGTATGTTGCTTGTCATTTAAAACTAACCCTAAATCCATGTAAAAAAACCATTTATTATTTTTTTAAAAAATAAAACATGTGATAAAAATATTTCTGGTATTCCTGTTTATGTGACTATTGTTCAATGGAGTAAATGTTGTATATTGGTTGATACTATTTTATAAAAAGAAATTAATGGTGTGTGAAATTATAGCTTTTTCTTTTAGACACTATTATTTTGTTTTTAAGGACTTAATAATAATTGTAAATTATTACACTGTGAAAACTGCCGTGTAATACTTATGCAAATTCGGTTGATTCTGCGTGTTATTTCAAGTTAATACCTAATCGAGCCTTCATACTCACTTCAAAGGGGGTAATTAAATCTAAAGACCAATAATTTATTACATAAAGTCTGTTGCATTTACTATCTTCATGGCTAGCAACATGCCGGAGAATGTGTTGTTGTTTTTTATTGTTTTGTGATTTTTGGAAAATAAAGGTGAATTGTGATTTTATTTGTGTCAGAAGTTACATAATCGTTGACAGAAGACTCCGCCAAAACATGCTGAGTGAGTTTACTTAACGCATTTATTGTCTACCAAGTACGGATTGCCATGCTATATCTGTCACTGAAGAGCGGTAATCTATAAGATATAAGTTCATTTTTCGTATTTCAGCAACCATTATGTTCTTAAATTTTACAATAAGTTTATTTGAATTAAACGGTATGATAATGTCATGAGAAAGCATATTTTGAGGAAAAATATTTCGATGATAAAATGCATCGTCATACAATTTGATTTGTTTAATGGATATATACTGTAAGGAAGAATTTTTTCTCTCGATATTGTATGTACCACAATTGGCGTGTTAATTATCAACATTATTTCTGAAGATATTAACTTTTTATTTTTTGATCTATGATGGCAAACATCGAAGCCTAACTGGGTGAGCTATTAATTACACAACTTATGGAAGAGTAAGTAACAAAATCATAGTTGACTATTTGGCACAATTTTTTAGTCACATTGATTTGAAAACTGATCATGTAAACTGTTATAAGAGGCATGGATATTTTCGGGGCAAAATTAAGATATCTTCTAATGAAAAACCTTATGCAAATTCGACAATTATATAAAACAATTTGATAATATTTAACTTCTAATTGTTGGCCGAAAACTCCCCGTGTAGTAAGTGGTAATAAGTGCACGTTGAATCTGCCAGGTCACTAAGTCCTCCATGTTGCCATAACAAATCATACCTCTTGGTTACTGAATTAGAGATTAAACATTCTCTGGTTCATGTCAAAGTTACGATCTGTAGATGAATGAATAGATGTATGAATGGATCCGCTTTATAAATGGGTTGTGAGGTGTGTGTGGCTGAAGTCATATTCTTAGCCATAGAGGGCACGGCTGAAAAACAAGAAACGCTCCCTTGCTGGATCGGCAAGTGGCATTTTAAAACAAGAAAACAATTACAATACTCTACAGTAAATGAAGCAGCTTTAATACCTACATTCGGTTTAACTCTATTTTTTAATTTTTTCGCTGCGCTGCCAATTTTAGAGCCTTTACTTTAAAGATTGTTTGAAAATTTGGTTCCTCCAATACACTCCACTTCCTTGTAAAAAAAAATTTCAACCATTCATGCTAAAAACAAAATAAATAATTCCCTGTGTCCTGAGATACTCCGCAATATGGTGCATTTTTGAACAGTGGGTTCAAGATTTCGCTATATTACTTAACGAAGGGGTAATAATCAGCCTTTAATCGCATCAGTGGGTCAATAAAATGAATACTGTGCTTAAGGACTAAACACTTTGATATCCGCGTTCGGCTGGACCACCTAACCGAAACATCTGCTCCTGCACCCTTGAGCCAACGATCAAGAAAATTGAATTGGGCACAGTAGGCCTTGGTCTTCTATGGGCTGTCGCGTCACTGAGTTTAGTTTAGATGGGGTGAAAGCTGAAATAAGTGTACATAAAGTGCACAAAATAAAAAACGGACCACCTTGAAAAACTTTTGATCCAATAATTTTCAGGATCTTGGACTCAATCTTAATGGTTTATGGGGTTGACCTCAAATATACCAATTAATTAGTGCTGACGATATTTTAAGTTATAAAAACCTACCTAAAAACTTACTTTCTCTGAATAAACATACCTATTTTTTGACGGATTCGGATCTCTGACCCCCAAAATATGGAGTGTAGCTGTAATCTGGGAAATTTGGTCCCCATAGTTTGGTCAAAGGAGTGATCCAAGGTTTAAACCAACTAATGATATTTCTGCTTTTTATGTATTTCGTCATATCTCGAGAACTTTTAATGAGAATAAAAAAAAATTTCTACACAGTTATAAAATTCTTTAAAAGTTATTCAGAGTGGTCCGTTTTTTGTTTTGCGCACTGTACACGTGAAATGCGCAATACATGCTTACACCTTGAATAAATTTCGATCTAATGTACTAAGGCTCAATCTTATTGGTTAGAGGGGGTATAACAAATATTCTGATTAATACGTGCTGACTATATTTTAAGTTGAGAAATAGGACACAGAAACGTACTTTCTTTGAATAAGCATGCCTCTTTTTCAACGGATTCGTATTTCTGACCCTCCCAAATATAGGTGGTAATCAGGTCAATCTGGGAAATATATAGTTTAAAAGTCATATTTTTAAAATTCGATTTCTTAGGAACTATTAAACCGATTTTACTCAAATTTTGTATCAGACACAAAAACGTACTTTCTTTAAACCGAAATACCTTCTTAGGCGGAATTACCTTTTAAGTTGCTTTTTATGCAACTAACACATTGCTAAAATTGATTTCACGTTTTTTTTTCCAGGATATGAAATAAAATGTGGGACTTTTCTTTTCATTTAAGTTCGATTTTCTACAAATTTGCTATGAATCATTTATGATACACAAGAGACATTTATGATGCACACAATTCTTATATGACAAAATTGCTGATTTAAATCTTTGGTACTACGCGTTTACCTGAAGTATGAACGCACAAAAGAGAAAAGATAATTGTTTTTTAATTTTAATATTATTTTAATCATAGTAGTTTATCCTTTCATTCTATCCTTTTAATAGTATTTTATACTTTTAATAGTATTTAAACTTCCAAATAACTACTGTAGATGACGCTTAAAAATATGTAGTATTTTGTAGTATTTTTTCAGACAAAGTTGTAGGTTTTTTTTTTTTAATTTCACAGCCTGGCAACCCTGAAAGAAGCAGAAGTTGAATGATCGCCTCCGAGTTAAGAGGCTGAAAAATATTTGCTGTTCCTCTTCGAAATATTAATATATCGTTTAATCTTGTCTATTGCGTTTTTGTTTGAATATTAAATGTTTCAAAAATAATGGACAGGTGTTAATTCCTTCAATGACAGACTTTGTTTACTCTTAATGACATCTTTTTTTCAAGAGTAGCGATCTTTTGAAGCGAAAGAAAACCAGTCCAGCTTTCTCCGGTTTAACCAGGAAAAATTAATACAGAAAATTAACAGGTAACATCATTTGACCTTTACATTTAATTAAGAAACGAAGTAAGTATATTGAATTATTGATTTTTTAATCTTATCCAGGGTATCTTTCTCACTAAACTCTTCGACTGACGCAATCATTTTTATTTCCCTATATACGATAAGCGGTTTCTAGATGAAATGTAAAAGTTTTTCAATTGAAAGATTCTAAAGAGGATTTGATAAAAGTTTTAGACAAAGCTTACCAAAAAATGATTATATCCTGTTTGATGTTTAAGAAAATTTAAAAAATCATTAAGTTTAAGATATCCATATCAATACATTTATCGAGCATGTTGCATAATAGTGGTGATATTAAATTATAAACTTTCGTGGCCACCAGGTATATGAAATTTTACACCGACCTGCCCTAATTTAGGGCATACGGGTAAATGTTTATTAAAATTTTAAAATCATTACAATACATAAATACTTAACATACATAAAATTCATAAAATCCATGGCAACAGCCCATGAATATGGCAGGGGAGTAAGATTGTATAAGAAAACAATTAAAACATAAAACAGTTTAACATATTCACTAATTGTGCGTATTGCCAGATAAAAGTTACTCAACAGGATCCTGTCCAACAGGGTCAAAGGATCTCTATATAAAAATGAATTACTAACACAACGCATAATAACCCATGAAAAAATTGAACGGATTTAAAACTATCAAAGGACCCGTATATAGTTAAAAGATATCAAAATTTGTATTAGTTAAAACAATTAAGCACAGTAAAAGTGACAAAAGCATCACAATGGCTAGAAAGCAAATTTAAAAAAGATCGGCTAAAACTGTAATATGTAAAATTGACGGCTAGAATTACATAGAACAATTAAAATTTAAGTTAAAAAAAAGTAAAACATGTATAATAGTTATTAAATAGTAAAATCCTAAAAATTTAAGATTGAAAACTCAGAATCAAAACTTAAAAAATCAAATACAAGATTTACGAGTTCTGTGGCAGAAAAGTTGCTCCAGAAAGAAATATCTAAAATAATGCATCGGTGAAATCAATTTTAAAAGTCAATTTAAATGCGGCGAGGAAAAGTTGATGTTGCGGACTGAGGTTCGGCAATGTGCTAGAAGGAGATGATTTAGTTGTGCAAGTTGTTCAATGCGTCTTCCAGGGTCACTTTAATAATATATTTGATTGTTGTTCTGCAGGCCAGGTTTAAGAATAATTGATGGCCGATTTGAGGTTGAAAATCGTTGCCACGACTTCCGGAATTCAGGACAGTCGCAAATTATCAGCCGGGTATAAATGACGACTTTGATTTGGAATAATAATATAAATCAAAAACGTAATGATAGCATAGAATAATACTAAAACAATATTATTGCCGGCAAATTGTCTTAAATAAGGAATAATAAATATTTTGTTCAAGTAAAGGATAATTTTACCACTTTTTTTTAAATATATAACCAATGTCACAAAGTGAAGTCAATATCTTTATTATTTGATGAGTCAACGAACAGTGAATTCAAGAACCATATAACCACAATAATGAGGAACCGGGTTAAGATCATCATCTTTTTACTCTCATTTTAAAGTAATGCAATCAAAACTTCCTCTGTCTGACGTACCTGTTCAGGGTCAAATGTATTCATTTGCCAACCAAAAATTTGAACGTCATTCGATTGATGAAAATGTGTGGGAGGAAGCATCACACAGAGCGATGTTTAGCATTCAACTGACACATTGGAACTGTGTCAGCAGAAATAATTTTTGAAATTTGTTTTGTTTTCATTAAATATTACTTCAAAACACGAAATATTTCATTGCGAGTGGTAATATTTTAAGTATACTCTTATTTATGAATTATTTAGATTTGTATGCTTTTGAAATTATTTCGTATGAACTATTAAATTTTTTCAAACTTTGAAATATTTGGCTTGACATTGTATAGTGCAGACAAAATTTAGAATTTTTTTTTATATAATCATGAGAGGAAATATGTTTGCTTTTTATTAATTTGATTAAAAATATAAATTGTTTAAAAATGCATTTATTTAAAAATAGCTTTAAAAATGAATGATTCTTTGAATTATTTAAGCAAATTCTTTTAAAATTCATTTTTCTGGTGAAAAAATAATTTTTAATTTCGCAAAATCCTCCCATCAAGCACTGTACAACTTTTAATCAAAAATACATAGATTTTAGTTTGTTTAAAAAATGAACTAAAAATTATCGGTAATAAATTATAATTTGATATTTATTTATTTTTATATAATTTATATTTATATAATGAACTTTAATTAATTATATTATTAATTGTTATATTTATGTTATTAATCATTTGTATAATTAGCATTTATTTTCACATAGTTTTTTATTTATAATTATTTATAAGGAATGAATCAAAAATGAATCAATCTTTAAACAAATTCTTTTAGCTAAAAAAATAATTTTTGATTACATGAAGTCCCGTCAAACGCTGTTGAACGTTTAATAAAACATACCTATATTTTAATTTGTTAAAAAAATATATTGCTTCTGTTATTTTGTGTTTACAACTATGTTCAAGAGTAATAGTTAACATGCGTCGTCATGGTACGCGTTGCTATGGCGACCGCTGCTGTTGGGTGCTACTCTTGAACAAAGTCTATAATATAGACTCTATATTAAGTACTGAATTTAGATAAAAAGTACTGAATCTTGTTAAAAAAATTTCTCATCAATGTTTTTATGCGAAGACAAATATATATGTATATATGTATCTGTATATGTATAAATATATATGTATATATGTAGTATATGTATAAATATATATGTATATGTATATATGCATATTTTTGAAAAAATATTTAAATTCCATGTATTAATTTTTGTAATTACAGAGAAAACTGAAAACAAATACATTAAGTGAATTTTGTAGTAAAAGTTTCAAGGTCTCAAATTTCAAGTTTTTCAAATTTCCAAGAAAAAGCAAGATAACGAAACTAATATTACTGAAAAACTACAAAAAAATGAATATTCGCTTTGATGGAAAAAGGGCTTTAGTTACTGGAGCCGGGAAAGGTAAGTTGAATATATTTTTTTAAAACATTTTTTACCTCTTTGGAACTTTCTGATTGAGATAAAATCGTCTGAACATTTAAGTTTTGCTATTAGAAGTTCATGCTTCCTAAATATTTAACAGAAACGTATTTAAAGAATATCTTTAAGTAATTTAAAAAATTAAGTTTTGTCGAAAAAAATTATTAAATTTAATTGCGCTACATGTCCATTGACTCGAAGCAGTGAATAGATTTTTGAGATCTTCTTTTAAGTTTTTTTTTTTTTTTAATCTATTATAACTTTTTTTTCCTTCAAATTATGTATTTTTTATGTTTCGTATTTTTTTTTTTAATTTCTTTTTTTCTTTAAATTTTTTTTTTGAAATCGGAAAGTAATTAATATTTCAATTATTTACTTATTGATTAAATACTTAAATATTTATATTATTTATATAAGTTTCCATAGAAATATATTTACAGCAAGACATTTGAAAAGAGACGCCTTTTATCCATTTTCTTAAATATCATGCATTTCTTGCATAATTTTTCTTACCCCGTGTAATTTCGAAACTTGTACATTTTTGAATTTCTTAAAAATTAAAAAACACTGGACTAGGATTTTTTTTTGGTACACAAGAAGGATAAATTAGGAAAAAAGAAGAATAGATTTATTCTTAGCTATAACTCTTTTTAAGTATGCATATTTCGAAGAAAATCAGAAGTATTGTAAAAGACATGCCTCTATCATTTTCTTTTTAACAGTACAGTACGCGCGTAAAATATGAAATGGACCATCCTGAAAAACTTTTGGTCTAATGATCGGATCTTCGTGTTCTAGGACTTAATCCTAATGGCTGGCCTAATGGCTAAGGGGGTGACCTCAGATATACTAATTAATTGAAGCAGATTATATTTTAATTTACAAAATCAAACACGAAAACGTCCTTTATCTTAATATATGTATATATATATATATATTTACATATATATTGAATTATTTAAG